ATATATATATATATAATTGATAAGTCTGAGTGGTCTGCTGACTAACTGTTTGTTCAAATAATCGTTATGGGCAGGTTACAATACAAAAAATTGTCATAATAACGTCTTGTGATTATTTGACAGGAGTTTTACTTTTACGTGTACTTAAAATACAGTTACTTGTAAGTGTATTTAATTTAGCTATAATGTAAATGCAATAAAAATTAACCAAGCTTTAGAATAATTATCATTTTGATCCATACATTGGTAATGTCTGACTGGGCCTCCTGTCACTTTATGTTCAATAAATTGGGCCCCGAGTTCAAAAAGGTTAAGAACCCCTGGTCTACAGGGACTGTAGGAAATGCTGCAGACATTAGTACACCACAGAAAGTTCACAGTTGTTACAAATGTGTCTTAATGCTGTTACAGACCACAAACAACCATGCTCGACTCGGAGTTTGCGTCCCCGAAGCATTAAAGTTCATCGTGGTGATTCAGGCTAATTGTGCTGTGCTGCTGTGTCTGTACTCACTGCAGTAATAGTGTTTAATTGTTGTGACTCTCTGACGAACTGAACCGTACTGCTGCCTCTGGTTCCTGGTTGATACCAGTCGATGATGCTGTATGTTTGGTTATTAGTGTGTAATTACTGCAAGTCTGAGGCTGACTGTGCAGGGTCCCTGAGCTCACACTTCCTTTCTGAGCAGTCTGACTGGCTCTGCTGGGTCTTTGCAGAGCCAAGAGAGCGTCTTACCAGCAACTTTAAAAGTAATGAGTCCATTTAGGCCATTAATGGCCTGTATTGGTTAAGGCTGTGTTAGATTGACCAGGAAAATCTCCCAAGGAATCAGGAAGGTGGAGGCAGCATTCCAACACGTGTGGCTCTGAGACAAATCACATGTAAACCCATGAATGGGTGTATGAATCAGCAAGACAGGAGTAGGAATGTGAATTCACTGAGAATAGAGAACAGATTTTCCTTTTGTGGTCTATCTTTAAAACCTCCCACCTTATGGAGCGCCAAGTGTGAAATGAAATATTACAAAAAATAGTTTTCATTATTTATCTCACTTTTTGAGTGTTCATAGTTTTCCACTAATATTAGCTCACTGTTCTTACTTTTACTAAATGCTATGTTTAAATGTTAAAAAATGTATTTAAATATTAAAT